TGCAATTTAAATTAATTAATAATTAAGTAATAAATAACGGTAATATTATTAATGTAATGTTATATTAAAGGTAAGAAAGTTTAAAAAAACATTAATGAAAGTTTACACATTGTTCTACAAGAATGAGAAATAATATTAAAACTAAATTTAAAACTTACAACTAATTTATCCAATCTTTCAGGTAATTCATCATCATCTTTGTTAACAAATCCACAAGCTTCTCCACAAATATATTGTGCTCCTAAAATCAATGCCTTTTGCTTAAAAGCACAAAGAAGAGACCATGGATCAAACCAGCCTTCTTTCTCTAATCCTAAACAACCTAGTTCAATATCTTCTGTATTTAACCAAGGAAATATATGTTTTAATTTAGCAGCTGATAGTAACATATTTTTTGCTCCAAGAAAATTTTGCAATTTAGAATTTTCTGTTAACCTTTCAGCTCCTTTTTCAGATGCTAACATTAAATATCCATATGGATGGTAAGATAGATCAATTACAGGTTGTCCCTCGATGCCCAAATAATCATTGATATTGCGTATAAATTCTGCACCAAACAGAGACATTTCAATATTTTCTTTAAGGGAAAATTGTTGACGTAAACCTCCAGCAGAAAGAACTGTTGATGCTGTAGTATACTGAGAATAAAATTTATATTTATTTTATTAACTGAATTTTCTTCTTGGATCAAACCTTATATTTTTTTAATATTTACATATTTCCAGCAAAGAGTAAACAAGCACGCATCAAATCTATTTCTTAAAAGCTTACCATAGGATCTCTTTCTACAACAATTACTTTAAAGTCTTGTGAGTAAACTCGTTTTTTCAACCAATAAGCTATGGAACTGCCTATCACTCCACCTCCAATTATTATAATGTCACATTGCTGTGGAATTATTGGTGGTCTATCCATCCATTTAATTAAAAAATTATCATCTTCCTTTACATCAAGAGAGTTTTCCATTGATACTAAATTATTTTTTAATTTTTTTGGTGTTATCGTGTTAGAGCCTTTTTCTTTTCGTATTAGTCTATTATTAATATCCTAAGAAGTCATATAAAAATTAATACAAATTTTCAAAAAATGTTATTGTAAACTTATATTTCACAAAACCTCTTCGACATTTAGTAATTTTTATAGATCAAATAAATTTTAATTAAAGAACTGATTATACATAATAATATATAAGTAAGTTCTAACTACTATGAACATTTTTTTAATGAGATTAAAATCCGGGAGAAACTAATGAAAACAAACATGTCATAACAAATTATATTATAATTGTATAGTTTAATTATTTTCATTAGGAAACAAATTTCAAACTAATTGCTATTTTTTTCATAATACAGTAAGTGTCAAATCTTGTGAGAATGAAACTTCAGATAATAAAATTCTATCATTTTCAACCTTGCAAATTATTAATATACCAAAATACTAAACACGTTAAAATCACAATACATAATATATAATGAAAAAAAATAAAGAAAAGTCAAGCAAAATCAAAATAAGCGAGCTTGAATACATATAGATATTTAGGAAAATAACGTGTTAACCTTAATGTTGTTCTCAATATTCTTACCTTTTCTGTAAAAGTACGTTTTATTTGCAGAAATCCATTTTTTTGTAAGATATTATTTTGTGCTCGAATTTTAATAAAAAACTGCAACATCTTCATAACTGCTCAAACTGTATGAATACTTCAATTAAGATTTTAACTTTTCGTATTTATCTTATATAGTCAAGTGGTAATCTAGATATACAAAAATTTCTAGAAGTGATAAGATAAACACTTAAAAATCCAATGATTCTTTTACGTCACATGGACATTGAATTAAAACAAGATTAAGATAAAATTGTTTTCATTTTATAAAAATAGTAAATCGTATTTTAACTTCACCAACATGTTAGCTCATAATTGTAATTTATTTTATATGAATCGATGTGAGACTTAAAATTTATGGAAATATAATATGTAATTAATGTAGTAAATGTAATACATTAAATACATTGATATCAGGTCGTTGCATATGAAATAGTAGATTTACAAATGGAACTTCAAACCTCAATAACGTAGTCAAACCTAAATTTTATTAACCAAAATAAGCTCCAGCAGATTTCTGCCAACGAATTCCAACTGTTTCTATCCCAAATGCTGTATTGATATTTCGTGTTGCCTATTTTGATTTCATTTTCTACCTTTAATATAAACTTAACCTAGCTCTTGTAGCGAAACAAATCATGCATTTAAAACAGTATACTGTAGGTTTTACTTTTTCATATGATAATCGACATGATTCTAATTCATAGAAATAAGACGAACTCTGCCAAAGGCAAACCCCACCATTTCATATGCAACGATATAATATTACAATTATATCACAATAAACTATAATGTAATATCACTATCGATAAAATAAACGCATTAAATGAATTCATAAAATACGTAAACGGGGTAAGTGGAAAATAGCTACTATTCTGTTATAACAAATGTATAATTTAACCATTTGTAAAAATCTGTACAATTTTCTTTAACTATTTGGGTATGAAAAGAAATATTTAAAAAACCACATTTCTATTAAAATAACTATATTTATGTATAACAACAGCTTAAAATATAACGATAGTATTTATGTACATACTTAAAATATTTCTTCTTAATTTATAAAGACATGAAGCATTGTATTAAACTGAAAAATTATTTTTGCTAAAACAGCTTCCTTGGTTTAATAATTGCCATGTATTTTTTTCAATTGTTATGATTTTTTGATACTTTTTTGTGAAGGAACAAAGTAATTTTTATGTCACAGTTAATCACAATAATTCTTCCTTCAAGAAGAAATCAGTGTTAGAAACTATCAACCTTTGTTATTCTGTCCATCAATCATATTACATGGAATAAGAACTAATTTAGGAATCATTCCAGGTGGTGCTATAAACTGTTGAGTACTCTGGGGGATGTTACGTCCAGAATACCTAAGTTCTGCTTCAGTTACAATTTTACAGATATTCATTTTAATATCTGCTTGAGCTTTTGGGGGAAGTCTTTTAACAGTTTGTGCCATGCTATCGAAAAAGAGTTCTATACTACTTTTTCCTTCTGGTGCTAAATACACTTGGTCATAATTGTTCTGTGTATCCTAAAAGAAATATTATATAAATATACTATGGAATATTATGATTAAATTAAAGGTTTTGTAATAATAACTAAACTTACTTCTACTTTGGAAGAATTCTTTATAGGATTATTTGTAGTTGATGTAGTAACAAAGACAGGTGTATCAACTGTTCTATTTTTAAAAGGTGAAGTTTTTAAGATACTATAAGTTGTAGGCACTTCCAGTGGTTCAACTTTCATTTTTTTTGGTCTTATTTTTCTATACTTCGATTGAATTTGTTGAGCATATGTATCAATATCATGTTGTATTGAATCTTCTACTTCTATACTTTTTACTATACCATCATTATTATCATTTAATTCCATAGAATCACGATCTAAAATTGGATCTGCAGTTGTTTCTTCTAAAACTTCCAGATATTCACTATAATCTTCATCATTACGGTCTTCTAATTGTTCTAAAAGACCTTCAGAACTAATACCACCAGCATTTATATCCTGAATGTAGTCTTCAGTTAATTCTATGCTTTGAGGTTGATAATCAGACTCATACCTAATTAAACATTTTTATTGACATTTAATCCTTTTACTTAAATATTGAGTAAAATTGAATTTTTAGTAACACAAAATTAATGATTAATACATTATTGTATAAGGATATCAAAATTATTATTAAATATTACATTGATAGAAAACTTTCTTACGGAAATTTTAAAAAGTTGAGATGATCTTCAAAAATCCATTTCTTTCTACGAACTCCTTTTTCTGTTCTATTCTTGTATTTAAGTATGCGACAGTAAGTATCCCTTAAGTTTTTCCATCTTAGTCTCACCCAAGTAGCTAAATACATTATGTTCATTACATTTACATATTTGTCATTTTATAAAGTTGCATTTTATTTAATTAAGAATAAATATAAAGTAACAAGATAATAATTATAAAAAGTAGTTTTATTAATTTATAAATACATTTCTACGTACATGTTAAAATAAAAATTATGGAGGTAAAAGAAATTACATTTTTGTATAATTAAACACTACATATTCATTCAAATAATACATTAATTTTTGAATATTTAAGTAAATACTTTCCTTTACTTGTAAACTGAATATTTATATAAATATAAATTTGGAATTAATAATTGTCGTTATGCACGCATTTATCAATTTTTAATAAACAAATATTTTCCGTATTATTTAAATTTTTTCAATACTTGTACATTAAAATTATAGATCATTAAATTTTCATTTAAATGAATTTAAAAATTAAATATAAAATTTAACAAAATGAACATAAATAAGTGGAACGTATCAATAAACATATCAAATTATTTGAAAAAAAATGAAAAAAGAAGGAAAAGAGTTCGTACGATCAAGACCAAGTTCATCCGAAATCCTCTTCCAAACCTTCTGCCGAAATTCCTGAAGCTTAACAGAAGAACCCTTCACTTCAGCACTATATAAAACTGGGTGTTGTTTTATCGCTTCAATGATCTTCAGCGAAATTTTATGCGAATCAGGCGGCATCGTCGGCACCATTTCGTCCGTTGAAAATCGTTCGAAGAAGTAAATTATTGTCGTCAATGTTGGAAACTTGATTCTATGCTTTTAATTTAATAACTAGGCGAAATCTTTATATTGTAAAAAAATTTGACATTTAATTTGTGATTCAATGTTGAATCAAATATTGAAAATTTAATTAGCCGTAAAAAAAAATTAAATTGATAAGTCCATCTATTTTGAACGTTGTTCATGAATTAAATAAGCAAGTGCATTAAAAGAGATATGCATACATTTAACTGCATAAATTTATACTTAAACATTATAATTAAGTTTTTAAGAAAATTAAAATAATTTACTTTGGGGGCAAAATGAATGGTTGGATTATTTGCTTAACATGAATTTTAGAGATTTCTGTCACAAATGTTAATGTTTAAAATAAATAATATGGCTTGAATTCATTGCACAACTAAGTTATTACAGGTTTTCTTAATTGTTGAAAAACTGAAATTCGTGTCGCGTCCTATGAATCGGTCGTTAAGTGTGCTGAAAAATATAAAGGGTCCGTAAATGAAACGACAATCGCCATTCTTTACGATTAACTAGACTTCCGTCGCGTTGCTTAACCGGAAGTCTTTGGTTTACTCTAATTAGATATAATAAAAAATTTTAAAGACCAATAACTAGTTCAAAACTATTTTTAAGTTTTGTCATTTTTGTGATCCTACAGACCTGTTTAGTTCATTTTCATGTTCAATGAGTATCATCGATTCTTACTAAAACCCTAGCACTAATGCAAACGCATTGCTGTAGTGGTTCTATGTGAAATGGTGTACAATACGTAAACGACTTACGCGAAATCATCTTGACATTAGTCGTCCAGCAATCTGTATTGAAACTGCTGTCGGTAAATAAATTTGTATTGTGAAGAAGAAATTGTTTTGTTTAAAATCCAGCTATAATTTGTTTCTAAGCTGTTAGCATACGCGCATTGCTTATCCGATAGTTTATCATTAATTACAACAAGCATTGGAAGTGTTTACGAAACAAAATATGGGAATAAAGAAATCTGTATTTTGGTAATAAACATTTTTAATCTTGTTATGTTTTAATCACTATATTAATATTTTTTCATTTAACAGAAGTATGCATTTTGTGTTATAGTATTTGTAGTTGTATTTCTTAATTTCTATGGTGATTTGTGTGTGATGCAACATTGCACACTGCACTGCATTCATTTAAATAATATGTAAAACTATTGGTTATAAATATTTAATTTGCAAACCATTCTTCATGAAAAGTAAAGTACATAACATGAATTAAAATGTCGGTATGTCAGTTACATACCAATTTATCTACACCAAACAAACGCCGGAACCCCTTCGATGCAAATTGTTGGACGGCTGATGTACAATGATTTCGATGCATATACATAGTATATCGCTTGCGCATCGTTACATGCCATTTCACATGGCCACCGCCGCTGTATGTTTGTTGGTTCTATGGTTTTGGCAAAGAACGTTGCAACTTACTGTATGTAGTTTATGACTATGACAGTGTTAGATAAGTAATCTCAGAACTCGATTAATATTATAAAACAATTAATTTGAAATCTGAAAAGAAATGGCTGAAATACCATTAGGATTGGTTAGCCACGCTAGAAAAGTTTGTAGCCTTTATAAGCAGAGTCTACGTAATTTAGAAAATTACTATAGACTTCGACACGAATACAGGTAAGAAATCTTTGAATCAAATCT